GGACAGCTCACCCGCGACAAAGGGACACTCACAGGATTCCTGAATTCAGGTGAATGAAATACCAGTAAAGTCCGGCAGAGCCGAGTCTTTCTCTCTCACTCTCTCGCTGTTTGTCTCTTTGTCTTTCTCCTTTCTTGCTCTTTGTTTCAGTGCCTCTTTCTCGTTTTCTTTCTGCTCCTCTTTATCTTTCTCTTTTCATGTCTCTGTGTCGGTCTTCGGCTCCTTGTCTGTTTCTCTTTATGTTTTCCCTTCTCTTTCTTTTTGTTGGTCTTTCTTGTTTGTATCTTTTCTTCTTTCGATTATGTTGTCTCTGTTTCTCTTTCTACTTCTTTTCTCCTTGTCCTTCCCTTTCTCTTCTCCTTCTAATTCTTCTGCCCCTTCTCTTTCTGTTTATCTTCCTCCTTCTCGTTCTCTTCCCTTTCTGGAATGATGAGGACTTAGCAGGCCAGGGGATGCGGGACTGTTCACCCTCCCAGACTGCAACACCGCTCGAAGCTGAGCGTTTGAAGGGAAACCTGTTTTAGCTCAATGGTCCACGCATTTTGTTGGTCTTGTTTTGTGTCTGTTTCTTTCGGGCAAGTCGGCTACATGTCACACTTCAATGCTCGGGGCCTGACACGCAAACCGAGTGTGCGGCTCAGGTAAAGCGATTCGACTGGAGACGTCCGCTGACCTGTTCCCTGTATGGGTCCTGACCTCATTGATGGTGTTGCCAGTGTTTTCCTATGATTTCCTATCCGCCTGGAGGCTGCCTCCGTGTCGCCAGTCAGCCTCTTAGAACCTGAGAGCCGTCTCAGACCATCTCCAGGGGTGATGTGGTTGCTGAATCCGAAGCCTTGGACTCAACGGTTATTTTAGCATTTGGCCTGGCACATGCTCTTGGCGGGCGTTTTTGGTTTGCAAACAACTTGTCAGTGAAGTCGACTCCGTGTGCATGGTTGGGGGTTGTGGCCTTTGGCCTTGGTTTCCTTTGTAGGCTCCTGGGTGCCAGATAGCCCATTGTCATTGTTGATTTACGCACAGGGAAACCCAAAGTGGATGTGTTTCTTTAATTTTCAGTCGACGCCTCCAGACCCACCTACTTAGCAGCAAGATTCTCAAGGCGATCCTCAACAGTGAGTTCAAGATCATCATCCTGCGAAGCAGTGGACAGATCACCTGGGAGGCAGAAATCAGCGGCGGTGGCTCAGGGCCCGATCTCTTGGCACGTCAACTTGGTTTTTTCTTGGCCAAGCAAGAAAGTCCTCCTTGAAACCTGAACGCATTCCCCAAGTACAAATGAGCGGAAGGAAGCCCGCCCCCATTTTAAGGGTTCAAGAGGAGATTCCCCCAATGGTTTTCGCGGTATGTGAAGCAGGGGAGTAGTTTACGTTTCCGAGCAGGAATTCAGCGAATCAGGTTTTGAGATTTCCTTATTTGTTCGGTTGGCATCACGGCGAACAATTATTTCGTGAATATCCCTTTTGATACCTTTTTGGACATTTTTGGTTTGAGGTTGGCATGTTCTAATTCTAGCAGTTCGTCCAGACCTCATTAGCGGCTTGTTGGAAACAAGAGTGTGCACGAGCTATGAGCTACGCGCGGCCGGCTATCAGCGCCTTGCAGGCGATTCCAAATCGCATGTGGCGCGCGAGGCGCGCGAGAGTGATCTCAAAAACTTACTTCCCTGGAGGTCATTTGGACTAGTTTTGTTGAACGTAGATGGAACCAAGCTGGTTTCAGTTTGGTTTACTATTATTTTCTCAGGTGAATTCATCAAGTTAGTTTTATGGAATTATGCAGAAGGACACAGGGCTACTCTGGCGCAGCCGTTGCCAATGCTTTGCTTGGCGCAAGGAAGCGCACCTAGAGACCCAATTGCCAAAGCATCTCCGATTTGAGCAGTGGCACGGCTTAACTCGATTTACTCTTGGCGGCTAGCAATCCATTGAAGTGGTTGTGAGTCATCCTGACTCGCAGGGAAGTAATGTGCTTCGTGTCGGATCTGCCGATTCGGCAGGGCAAACTCCCCGCACTACGGGTCAGCGCTGCGAACGACGTGCCTTGGATTCTTGAAGTGCAATTCTTCGTTTGCATTGCTTCCGTTCGGGCCCATGGTGGGGCTCCAGTCGGGTCCCAACGTTGAATTGGAAATCTGCCAAATGTACACGTTTTAGAGGCTTTACATGGTTTTGGGTAGTTAGAAATTGTTGAGACGAGGTGTTGCTTGCGCCTCACACGCTAAACGAACCAGGCTGGTTGTTTGCATTTGGCACGCGAAGCCAGCACGGCTTCAAGTGCTGTCAGCTGTTGGCTCTGTGGTGGTTCCAAGAGGGCCTTAGTCCATTTTTTTGGCCAAATGGGAAGTTGGGAAGTCGTGGCGTGCCTTTCTTTACAGAAACTCAGACAAGCCGCCAACAGGGGTCCTTACATTTCCTTTTTGGGCTTTGCCGGTTTCGGCTGATCCTTGGGCCTTTTTTCATGGCCTTGACAACCTTTTGCTTGCCAGGTTTGAGTGAGTTTCATTCTGACGTGATAGCACAAGGTTGCATGACTCGAGCCCTGCCCAAGGTTCGACATTGACAACTTGGAAGTGAAGCTGCCTGCCGCTCAGAGCTCAAGGTTGATCCTTACACACGCCTTGCGCAAACAACACGCAGGTACCCTCCCTCAGCCTAACATGGAAGCTCCCAGAAAGCCACGGTAAATGGAACTCATTGGAACTCAGTCGTGTAAAGGATTCAGGCGATCTTCCAGGTTTGCCTGGGGAGGGCACATGAAATTCCTTGTCTCTTCACATTGGGAACAATATCAGCTTAATAAAGATAGAACAAAGCTGGCTTCAGTTTAGTTTAACTGGAATTGCCAGTCAGAGGGCGCCTACGAAAAGGTTTCTAAACCCCGGAAAATGTGTTCCTTTCATCACGCAGAGTTTAGGAGACCGTAAATAGGTTCTATCAAATGGGTGTGTACATGCATGATTGCCTCTTTGCGCAAGCGATCAGAACCAATTTGTTTATTAGAACTCGGTCCCCTGCAGGGGTTGGCCTTCTGGGACTGATCAATCCCCGCGAGGCAAGAGCGCCAGAGCCGAATCACCTTCAAAGCCACCGTCTCCGTGTCAGAGGTGCGGTGATGGAAGTGCCCAGGGCTGATTTTGGGGTGTGTTGACAAGATTAATCTGAAGTGTCTATGCAGTTTGACTATCCAACCATGCTTTATGACTCCTTTCCCACTCGTGTAATACGCTGGCACCTTGCTCTCAAATGCGTATTTGTCTTCAGGAAAAGCGGTACAACGTTGGACGAATCCTGACGCACTACAGTATTTTTCTTAAGCAAACTGTTGTAAGCGCATCCCAGTAGCGTTGCACAGGCTTTTCATCGCAAACGGAATGCGCCCGCACAGCTGCTATTGAAGCAGTCATCGACGCATGGGGGGCCAGAAGTGTATTCGATGGAGCCCGTTTTCTAACGAGTTTGCGATCCCTCCAAACCGAACACAGAGGCTCCGCGAGGGCACGTGGCCCTCGGCAAGGTGTCCACCATTTGTTCGGGCCATGGTTGTGCAGGGTATGTTTCTGTTTTATTCAATCCTTGGCGGTCGGCCGCAGGTGCCCCATCTTGGGATCACCGCAGCTCGGCATGAGTGCTGTGGCCTTTGTGAGTCAGCCGAACGGCAAACAGAGCCCAGCGAGCAACAAGCTTTGCTTCATGAGTCTCCCCATCTGATGATTTCTAGCGCCGCTGCCCATGTTTGATTGGACCTCAGCCACGTGCCTTCTCAAATCACAGCTTCCCTCCAAAAGGTTAGTTCTCCAGAAGTGTAACATCACAGGTGTTTTGTCTGCAGAAAAAGGTGCGGCGCCCTCAAAAAGGCGAACCCGTCAAAATCAGGAGGAGCTCAAAGTGTCAAAGCTTCCCACGGCCAATGGGCATCCAGCATTGCCGAGCAGCTAAGAGTCAGCCCCCGGCCTAGGACCTCAGAAATGAGCTCTGGTGGTCTCAGGAGGAGGGGATGTGGTTGCAATTGCCTTTCTTGGGACTGTGTCCTTTGGTGATGTTCTCTCTCTCTATAATATCGATATGGTGTGTGTGTGTGTAAAAAGGCAATATGCACAGATGTGTGTGTGTGTGTTGATAGGCGTGCGTCAGGAAAGTTGCACACGTCTCCCAGGAAGTGACATCATCAATGAATCGAAATACGTCGTGCTGTAGAGTGGTTCGCTACACAGTGGTGAACTTACAGAACCTGAGAGGCATGATTCGGAATTTGGAGTTGTGGGGGTCCTCATTTGGTGAAAACCGTTGTGATGTTTGTGATGAAAGCCAGCTTTCAGTTGCGACTGTGTCCCTTAGCAGTGTCGGCTTAGCAGGCAGTTGCGATGTGTTTCGACGCTGGCATCACCCTTCCACTCCCAATATGGTTTGATGCACAACCCCGGTTGAAGACGACACCTTTCCTTTTGCAAAGGCAGCCGTGCATTTCCATGTTTGGGGGTAACGAGAACCCAAGATTGCTAATTAGGGGCTTCCCCCTGCTTGATGTTCATTCGGAATTTGGGGTGAACATTAACCTTTGTACCAGGCTCTCTTGCGAGGGGCACTCGTTGTTTGTGCCACGGCGCAATGGCACGATCTAGTGGTCTGGTGCTGCTTCTGGCAGCATGGCCCTTGGCATTTGTGAACCTGGGCACTGGAAGTCGTAAAAGTTGGCTTCCCCGACGGGCGAAGCCTGAGAAGCAGCCGCACCACGGAAATGTGGATGGGATGCTTGGAAGGCGTTTGTGTTGCGTTTGCCATTGGCTTTGTCGCGATGTGTTTCGCGATATTTGGTTCTGGGATTTTCGAGGTGGGATATCAAGGTCATGGGCTCCATGCTACTCAGCGCATCTTCCTGGGCGCTACCTTAAAGATGTGCAACATTTTCATGTTTTGCGGGTAGTCCAAGGTTCCCGGTTGTTCTTTCCAAGGAATTTCTATGTGGACCACACCTGCATCGATTGCGACACGTGCCGCTGGATGGCACCCCAAACCTTCGGCCGCACCGCTCGGTCTGGCCCCGGCCAGTCCGTAGTTCACCAGCAGCTTTGGCCAAAGCAAATCGACCTTTTTGCATTTGGCGTTCCAGTCTGGTCCATGTTTTGTGAAGATTCAAAAGGTTACCCTCCCACCACGCCTTTCAGAAGACCTAGTTCCCTCTACTCCTCGTTTTAATCAACCTTCCACTCGAATAGATGTTTCCACTACCCCCAAACCTCCATCCCCCACTGAAAAACCTAAAATGTACCGTCTACGTAGTGGCAATATGCTGGTTGTGTATGTCCCATTCAACTTTTGTGTGCCGGTAGTGGTTTGGGGGTGGTGGACACATCCATGTCAGTGTGGGGGAGGTTAACTGTTCACTTGCTAGGGTTTGCGCTTGATGCCCCACCTGGTGATTCCTCCTGCAAAGTGCCAAACGAGTGCTAACAGGCAGCACATCATTATAATGGCACCGGAATCCACAGTTGGGACATTTGGAACGCTGTCTCGAATGTAGTCCATCAAAGACAAAAGGTTGGGACAAAGGCTTGACAGGCGATTTCAGTCAAATCAAGATAGGGTATGTGCAAACATGTGAAAGTAAGGGGACCTCCAAAAAATGTGTTTGGCTTTCCTTCTATCAACCTGAAGCACTGTACCCTCAAATCGCACACATTCACATACAGGCACACACACACACAAACGTATATACATATACAACATGCATTGTTTGCATTCCTTGTTCCTGTCGTGTGTGAGGCAGCCCAGTGACACCCAAGAAGTTGACCGAGCGCTGGAAGCCATGATCTCGTGCCCTACTGGCAGCATCCGCACAAGAGCTCCGGTTGCCAGAGCCAAGGAGGTTTGGGCGCTGCATGATGGTCCAAAAGGAAACCAATAAGAAGCCGAACGCGAACCAATTGGGAGTCCATAGTTTTGGTGTTTGAATGATTACCCTTCTACCAAAAATGGAAGTGCACGGACGGGCAGTCCGGTCTCTCGTGTTTGTTGGTGGGAGGTAGCCCATAGCTTTGAGTCTTTCCAAAACGGGAACCAACAGAGGATTGGCAGCCTTCCACTACCATGGACACCCGCGCGGAGGCCAAAAGCCCATTTTCCCAAAGGTACCAGCCTGTCACGTTTGTGGTTGGGATTGGGTACCAAATAGCCCAGGAAAATTGAGTGTTGGTGTTCATTGTAGGCCCCCCCCCCCTACTGTATATGCCCGTATGAGACACCCGTTTTCCGATTTTCAGAAGCTCTCCAGACACTCCGGAGGTGCTGGATAGCTTCCCTTTGGCTGTGGATGTCGATGGTTTGCCGCACGTGTTTCACCTGGGCTATCACAGCAAGAAGAGCTTCGGAGCAGCAAGCTACTTTGTGGCAGGCAGAGCAGGCAGGGTCTGGGTTGGCTTATCCCAACTCCTGTTTGCTTGTGCAACAAAAATCCAGGCTGTTGAGTCGAACTCCTTTGGGTTTCTCCTTAAAGGGGGACATGTGTGTGTGTGAGTTTGCTTTTTGTTTAAGCCTTTGTTGCTCCCAGCAGGCGGTGCTTTGAACGTCATGTTCGACTCCCCGCGTTTCTCGTCAAAGTTGGCAAGCTTGTTGGAAGAAGCTGGGGGGATCGACTTCATGGTACTGAGTCACAAGGACTTAGTCGAGCCGCAAAGCTTCGAAGCGATCCGTGCCGTTGCCATGTTTAAGTCACCTGTTTGCCCTGTTGCCCTGTTGGTTTCAATGGGTTCCTTCATTTTGCCTTCGGATTAGCAGAAGGTACACTTTTTGCTTGGGGCCTAAGTCTGGCCAAACCGTTTCTCAAGACGCTCCACGGCCCCTCTAAATTCGTTATTGGGGGGGATCCCCGCTGAACATGATCCTTCCCAAAAAGGGTTCCCTGTTTGTTCCATGGTCACTTGGCCATCAAGGGTCAATCATTTTCGCTTTGCTTGCCTCCCAAAGTGGCTGCTTGCGATTTGCCTGGACCCCCCCCCCGCCACAGTTGCAACTTGTCAAGGTTTGAATCCAGTGCCCCCGGACAATGGATTGGCAAACCGGCCAACCCGCGCCGCCAGGATGATGTGGCGGATCACATCCAGTGGAAGAAGCGGTTTCCGGAGATGCGGCGCGTGATGCATGTGGCAGATGTGCGAGGGCCAGACGCTTGGCCCTACATCGACATGACGGAGATTGAGGAGCAACTCAGCCGCCAAAAGCGAATGGACCGTTTTGTATCTGTTTTGTTTCCGCGAGCTCGCCTGGGGCTGAAGCAAGCTCACCCGTGATGAAGCACGTTCGCTAGGGCTTCCCTTATTCCAATGTGGGAGTTGCAGTGCGTTGCCTGCCCAGGACATTTTAGTTGGGCTTTGCCATTCTGTGTTCATAGTTGCTCCTTCATCTATGTCGTATTGTCTCCAAACACTTGCAAGTGAGGCAGTTAGCCGGACAAGGGCCTTGGTCACTTGCAGATGGCCTGAGTGTCATCCACACGCCAGGCTGGAGCAATAGTTCATATCAGAGAAGCGATTTGCATGTGGATCGTCAAGTTTGCCCTTCCCTGCCGAAAGGCAGCACTTCCCTCCGAAAGGCGGCGCAAGGCACCAAGATCCAAAAAGGGGCCATGTCTTTGACAAAAATCATGTGATGAATTGGAATGATGATCCCAGGGGTTGCTTGGCCTATCACCTGTTCACAGCTCGGGAGCCACCTGCAGCCCCACACACATACGCACACAGCGACAGGCAGACACAGATCACAGACACGCGTACTCACTGTCACATAGATGCATACACACACAAACAAATCTCGGCAGAACCAAACAACACAACACAGACGCACAGATACAGACATACACACACACACACACGGGCGGACACAGACACGCAGTTACAGACGCAGACAGACACACGCGTCACACAACACGTAAACAAACAGATTGACGGCTTATTCAATCATCTTGGCTGCTTCCCCCCCGGGCCCTGTGGGGAGCTGCGGAGGCCACAGCGAGGGCTCCATCACGTTGCTCGCGGCGGAGGGTTTCACGGGGGGCGAGGCAGGGGACAAATCAGCTTTTAGTTCAGACCATTCAACCTGCTTTCGTTTTAATTTAGATATCCTCCCTTGAATTACCTTTAGTTGCCCTCAGAAGATCAAATCATGGTTTAAACCAACTCTTGCGTTGCCCCCTTACCGGACCAGGGTCTGGTTGTTTGAGCAAGTTGTTATCAGATTCCAGCCCCCCCCCCCCTCACCCCCCGGTTGTTTCCCCAGAAAAAGGGAGCAAACCATGGAAACCCCATAAGAAATCAGGGACAACCCATAGGAAACCATGGAAAACCCATAAGAAACCAATAAGACACCCATAGCAAACCCATAGGAAACTGAGAGGCTGCCGGTTTTTGAGGCAAGTTTCGCCGGTGTCAACCCCAGGGCGTCGCCTTCACGGGCGACCACCTGGCGCTCAACGGGCGCCTGGGCCGCCTGGACGGCTTCGCCCGCTACTCTGAGGAGAGCGACGGGTTCGGAGGGCTTCGGAGGGGTTTTGATTGGCGCAGTTGTCCAAAGCCGAGCTTTGCAGCATTTCGAATTTGGAAGCTTTTGGTTTCCCTGACTTATCTCAAGGTTCCAGGTGAGCCTTTTATTTCCAGGTCCGGGAAACCAACGGTTTCCCATTGGTCCAAATTTCGCAAGGTTCCAAGTTAACCTTTGATTTCCCGATCCTTTGGACAGGGTATGTTTTCTGAGGCGAAGGCGACCTTGTCAGATTGGTTTGAAGGGGGACCAAAAGGAAGAACACATGTTTTGTTGGGTTGTGCTATGTTAGTACGCCCCAGGGAACCCCTAAGGAGTCTTCCAGAAGGAGATTCTCACTTCCTGCTTTCCTTAGCCACTTCTTGGGTTTGGACAATTTAAGTGGTAAACCATTGAATCCGCGGTTTGTAGGTCTAGTGATTTCGCCTGAAGGGGCCTCAGAGGTTGACAAGCATTTACTCTTTGAGGCGGCTTCAGCCTTGAATCCAGGCCCTGTTGCCTTGTTGCGTTCCTTGGTGCTTCTGAGTCAGGACCCCACGTAGTTTGGGCCAACGGCTTGTTGTGCTTCACCTGGCGATAAAAAAGTGAACTCTAATGAAGCCGTGCAGACCCACAACATAAGGGTGTTATACTTCTATTTACTCAGGACAAAACTACGGGCCAAGACCGAAAGCCTAGGCAACGTGCCTGAGAGTGAAACTATTGTGGAACTCTGGAGTGGTATAGACCCCTTCTGCCCCCAAGGCTTCTCAGAGCTTTCTAGGAATCCCTTGAAGTTCTGAGAACGGCGGAGGCGGCGGAGGCCTTAGTTGCCTCCAAGAAGCTTTTTGCACGGATCTTTCGTGCGCAGGACCACGACCTGCAGGCAGATTCCATGCTGAAGCTCGCTGACGAGGCAAGAGAGTTGCACGCCAGAAATCTGATGGCGGCGGATTAGTTGTGTTTTGTTGGCAAGCTGTTGGAGGTAAGCACGCTCGCCATGATAAAGGTCTTTTACTTGGAGATTGTTTACTTCAGGTTTAGAAAGTGCGGAATTTGCAGATCAGTCCGCCATCCATCCAATACTCTGTCAGAGTCATACGTACCACTGGATCTCGTAGAGTGGTTGTACTTTGGGTTTTCAGAATTACTGTTGGGGAGTGTCTTCCCGTTAGTCCACCATTTCGATGGGATTTGACTGCTATTAGTCACGAACTGTTGCTGCCATGGCTCCCGTGCTTTGGCTTCTCCTTGCTCGTGCTGAATCGCTAAGGTTGGCTAAGCATCATGATCCAGCGGGGTTTGACCTGTCAAAAGCATTCCGCCAGAATCGAGTTGCACCTGATCAGGATTGATATGGATCCATTAAAGAACGCATTATGAGGGGCTCATAACATGAGGTTCCTTTAAACCACCACTTAATCATTTTTCAGGATGGTATGTTAATGGCTTGCACCCTTAGTTGGAAAGCAGAAAACGAGCAGCTGTCACACGACACCGCCCCTGTATAGCTCTGATGCTCCAAGCGTGCTCCATAGTCGCAGTTTCTTTGCCCCAACAGCACCACCTGCGGGGAGACATGTTTTGGCCACTTCACTGAACAAGTGGGTTTTTGGCACCCAATTCGCAGGTTAGCGCTCAATTCGCCAGGACTTTCTGTGGATCCTCCCGGGCCACGGCCGGCGCGTGCACTTTGCCTCGGCCACCGAGCGCCGGCAGCGCCTGCAGAAGGCGGCGGAGGAGTACCGAGAGGACCCCAAGGCGCCCGCAGTCAGCGGGGTCGGGCGGTTAATTCAGTCAGGTGCCCTTGTCAACCCATTTAATAATAATGGATTAGTATTGTGGTCGATATAGAAAGCATTGCATAAACAAATATAATAGCACCACCTTTGGGCGACCATTTAGATGATTGTCCTTTTGGCCGGGCGACGTTGAATCAAAAAAAATAGGGAGCCCTGTTTCGCCGGCAGGGGTGGGTGCAAGACTCGCTTCAACCACCAACCCCTGGTTCCCTTTGTCTGGCGAAGCCTAAGCCAGTTGCTAAGGGTGTCCTTTTTCGTTGTGTTTTGTTCAGCCATCCTTCTTCTGTAAACTGCCGTTTGCACGGGAATTGTGGGCGCCTGGAGGACGAAGGATGCCTGGAAAGAATGGGGACGTTACCCCTAGACACTTAAGCACCCCCACAGTCCATTTGGGTGTTATCTTAACAAATACTGTCGGGGTCCGGGGTTTTGTAAATCATTTGCACGGGGGCTTGGGTTACACTAGAACAGAAATCAACCCCAAATTAAAATGATTCCAATCCTGTGTTGCGAGGGTTTGGCTACCAGATGCTCCAGATGCTCTGGGCTCATTCCAGATGGCATTGCAGGCTTGCATTGGGTGCTCCATGTTTGTTTCCCAAAATGAGATTTGTCAGAACCTCGCTTCTACAGTAGTGCATGCTTACGTGTGGAATCAACCTCAAACAGGGTTCCAGTTCCTTTCTGCCAGGGTCATTGAACAGCCGGGTTTATGAGTCTGCTACCGCTAAAAGTTCAGTTGCCAATTTGTTAAGAAACCATGTAAGCCTCCTTGTTGGTAGTATCTAGCGTGTAGTGTGTTGAAGGCCACGGCTATGCTGTGGATGGACAAACTTATGCACTCAGCGCGTGGGTTCCATCCGAACTGCGTGTGGATTTGGTCCATGCCCATTTGCTGAGCCGAGCCGAGGGTGAGGGAGCTCCAGGGGCGCTCTTCAAGGTGCTTGAGGCTCGCTCGGGTGCCCAACTACGTTTACACGACCAATTGTTGAGGGCGTGAAGGGCAACCAGGAGGAGGTTGCGTAAACCATAGCTGAAACAAGCGGATTGATTGGCCCAACCCAGCGAGCTCAATGTTGACGTCGGATTGACCTGGAGGGCGGGAGCCCCGTACAGTCGGTTCTGCGGGTTGGGGGCGGGGGGGGGGGGTGTGGGGCCAACCCAACATTGTTTGCAACTTTTACTCGTGGTGTTGTTAGGGAAATTCACTCCCAGTCAACCATGCGCCGTCCCGACAGCTTGCTGGCCCTGTGCTTCTCCGCGGCAGTCGCTCACACTGCTTGCCTGTTGACGCCGTGCTCGGACTTTGCTTCGTGGTGGACGTTGAGTATATTGTCAGTTTGCTACCTTTGCACTGCAGTGCCGCGCGGGATCCCTTATTGGACTTCACATTGTCGGTCGTCCGCGTCCAAGTAGCCTCCTGACTTCTCTTGCATGGAGTTCTCTTTGCCTTGCCTCTGAACGTCCTGGTGTGCTGCGAGGCTCCGGAAGTTGTTTTGTCCCCCAGTTCCTGCCAGCATCACTCTGCTGCCTTGACTTGCCTTAGCTGCAGGTTTCTCCATGTGACATGCCTGCCATGGAAGCAAACATGGAGGCACCTAAAGTGCTACGCATCCGAAAAGCCTGCATGCCAAGATAGTGCAGCATGGCTTTTGGCTTGTCTGGACACGCGCGGCAGCACATGCTATCCTACACGATGCCTATATGTGGCGAAAAAGCGCTGGCTGCGACCTGTGGCGTGCCATGGGCGAATAGTGTTAAGCTAATTCAGCATAGGAAGCAGCGACGCCGAAAGCCAATAAGAAAGCAGCTGCAGCCAGCCGTGCTGTCACGCAACTTTTGGACACAGGGTCACTAGCAACGCCGGCACTTTATTCAAACCTTCTTGCACAATATCCTTTCGGCTTCCCTTCAAAAGGAACCTCGGCATGTGGCCTCACTGACCCCTGGTTCGGCCCATCGTCCTCAAGCACCCTCCTGATAAGTTTCATATTGGTCGGTGGGAGCGTAAACATTGCTTAGACCAAGCAGTGTTTGTTTTCTCAGTGTTGAATTAGGCCAGGGCGTGTCTTGTGTGTGGGTGTGCTGACTGTGTGTGTGCTGCTTGCTTGCTTGCTTGCTTGCTTGCTTGCTTGCTTGCTGGCTGGCTGGCTGGCTGGCTGGCTGGCTGGCTGGCTGGCTGGCTGGCTGGCTGGCTGGCTGGCTGGCTGGCTGGCTGGCTGGCTGGCTGGCTGGCTGGCTGGTTGGTTGGTTGGTTAATTTTGGTTGGTTGGTTGGTTGGTTGGTTTGTTGTTTGTTTGTTTGATTGTTTGTTTGTTTGTTTGCTGTTTGTTTCGTTGTGTTGTGTTGTGTTGTGTTGGGTTGGGTTGGGTTGGGTTCGGTTATGTTGGTGTGGCTTGTTTGTGTTGTTTGTTTGCTTGGTTGGTGGTTGGTTTGGTTTGGTTTGGCTTGCTTCGGTTTGGCTTGGTTGTTTGGTTGGTTGTTTGGTTGTTTTTGATTGTTTGATTGATTGTTTGATTGATGGTTTCTTTGTTTGTCTTGTTTTGTTTGTCTTTGTTGTTGTTTGTTTATATGTATTTTATGTGTTGCTTGTTTGGATTGTTTTGTTTTGCTTGTTTTGGTTGGTTGCTTGCTTGTTTCTTTGTTTGCAGCTTTGAGCTCATGCGAGGTAGCACCCCGCTGAGTGAGCGGATGCTGCCTGTTCCAGAAAATTGACGACGCCAGCCGTGCTGTTTTGGACAGTTCGTTGGAAGATTGCAACGTTGTATGCACAGACAGTTGATCCCCCCCCCGTGTTGGATTCTATGAGCATTGGCTTGTAGAGCTTAATCCCTCGCCCGTGGCTTCTGACCAGGCAAGAAGACCTGGCATTTTCCTGTACAGACGGGCTTCTGCGGAAGGGGGTGCCGGTGGAGAGGGCCATATCAGCAAACGTACAGGAAAACAAGCGTGCGCTGGATCACCAAAACGTGCAAAGAGAGAGAGAGAGAGAGAGAGAGAGAGAGAGAGAGAGAGAGAGAGAGAGAGAAGAAAAAAGCAAAAGGAGAGTGACCGGAAAGGAGGGTGAATTAGGATTGTGTAAATGTCCCCTGCATGTACATTCAGGTGGCTTATGAGCCAAACACAAAGCTGGATGATTGAGACAGGGACCATTCCCGTCCACAAGTAGGGGCGACCGCTCTTGTGATTGCTCACATGTTGTGATATACGCCTTTGAGTGGCTGTGGTCGTTGAGGTGCTTGTGCTGCTTGATGGATGGTAAGCAGCATTCAGTTGTCCGATGCTGAGTCAGAGCCGACTCGCAATGAAACCATACGAAGCTCATCACCTTTAACTATCCTTACGCCACTGCTAGATGATTATGGTCATTATCAGGGCTGCAATGACGCTGTTTGTTTGGCCCAGAATTTGCGCGGTAAATTTGAAAGTCCCGACCGCCCACATCAGGGACCTGTTCAAAACGTCAGTGTTGTAAAAGCTCCGACCGTCCACACTTCCGTGGTTGTTGGAAAGCCTGGGTACTGTGGCGATGAATTGTGGGGATACCCTCAAAAATGGCTGTTTAACATGACTGTTGAACATGAATCCCGTATAAGCGATGTCGACCAAAGGTAGCTGGTTGAACTCATACACATTGGCTTTGGTAGGGCTGCTCATGGGTTGGTTTTCGGACAGTCGCTCCAAGGCTTCTTTCTGCGGGCTGCACCCATGGCCCACAAAACGAGTTCTGCCCATGGCAAGACTGAAAGGCCCCAAAACAATCTCCACTCACCTCGGGATGTGCGTCAAAAGACGGGAACGTTCAATTCCTCGTGTTCCTTTTAGTTTCCCTGTCCATGGATTTTCTCAGCTGTGGCCAATTGCGAGGACTTCCAGGAGTTTCTGCGTGTGCGCATGGCATTGATGAACGAGTACAAAGCGGCTCAGCTTTAAACAGAATCAGAGGGTCAAGGCCGTGGCTATGAGGGCTTCCAAACTGCATAAGCAGCGCTTTGAGTGGCTACGGGTTTGATCTGTTGGACAAGCCTATTCTGAACATGTTCAAGGGGGAGGCGCATTCATTCGTCAGCTTCTGAGGTCCCTTTATGTTCAACCACTGGTCGGGCATTGACCTCCATCCCTGCGAAGGTCATGAGCAAGTGTTAAATATCTGACAAAGTGGGATCATGTTTGTTGCAATGTGGATGTGAGGTGTATGTATCATTGAAGTGCGCAATTCAACTACACTCCTTCCAACAATCATGAACGTGGAATCGATGTGCGGTCTTCCAACCCCCTTGTGCACTGGAATGATTTTTCAAAGGAGGTCAATTTCAGATGCGCAGATGTCTGCAGAGTCCTGATGTTTGTTGATGGGATGTCGGTTAGTTTGAGATTTTGAGCTCACCGATTCGGGGGCAAAACGAGAGAATGCCATGACGTAGGTCCTTTTCGTGGTCCCTTGTTTGAGTTTGGATTTGCGATAAGTTTTGCGGATTCAAAGAATCATGTCAAGATGCCTGCAGCTTCATATGAAGAGTTGACCACGCCTTCAAGATATCGAGCTTTCCCTCACGCGTTGCCACACTTCCCGCGCTGCCTGCTTTGCCACGCCATATGTCTCTTGGGGCAACTGGGAAATTGATCTTCCAGATGCCCTCCAGGTATCTTCTATTCGCGGGAGGAAGTGCACGCCAAAGAGGAATTGCATTGGGAGGTGTATCGAAATAGAGCCCCTTTTTGGATTTGTGGATTCCCTACAGCCAGTAGTTTGAGCAACACCCACTTGCGTATCGCATCCTGCCATGGGGAAGATTCGAAAGGCAAATTGGGACTCTCACTTCAGAGGACCTCCAAGCCACAGGCTTGCCCCCGAGCCGTATCAAAGCGAAGCCACCTTTGGGTAGAAATAGGTTTGATGTCCACTAGTTTTCTACCAATACATTTGCAGGGTGAAAGCAGATGGCACAACTCCCTTTATGTTTATAGTGTTTTGCGTGAAGGGGATGATTAAACCAACATGAGGGGAATTGTACCATTACCGTTCACCAAACTGTACTGGATGTACCAGAG